TTTGGCTTGGTTTAAAATGAATTCCCGCTGATTTGAGCTCAGTTACTGAACGATACGATTCCCATTGGACAAATGTGTTCTTGTTTTGGATTTCATACATATATGGTTTGATGAAGTGTTCCCGCAGTAGATGTAGAAGGTGAGGGCTTGAATCCAACTCTAATTTCCATTTATTCATTTCTTGATCACTTGTAGTGCAGCATCCCTTCATTTGTGCAAGAAATTTCTTGACAGCATTAGTGCATGAATTTCCCTGAGGTGGCATTAAGATGTACGGCTCGAGGAACTTCTGTTTAAATAATGTCTGGTCTTTTTCTCTTCGAACCCTGAATTTCAACAGAACTTTTAGTACTAGTAAAGGAATTTGATTCTCTAGCAAGAGCAAGTCCCTCAACACAGAGTAGAAACTCTTAACCAGTCGTTCAGTAACTTCGTTTTGTTCCTCTTCTTGTAAGTTAGTGCACAAAACATAAAGCACAAAGCAAGCATCAAGAAACATTATTCTGTTGAACTTATTGTCATCAAAACCAGTCGAGTCTTTCTCATAGCATTTGCGGACACTTGCACCCACCATTGCCACCTCTTCGTATAACTGTTCGATGGATACTTGATTACCACAGGCACGAACGAATTTCTGTGCGATTGGAATCTTTAGCTTCTCAAATGCTTCTAGCTCTGGCTTTCCATGATGATAAGGGCCGATCGAAACTACGAGAGGATCATAACAATCTTTGTTTGATTTGATCACTCGCATCAGTGATGGAACCCTTTCTATTTGGGGTTTCTCTGTTGTGTCGTTAACATAGCTCTTTATAGAAATCAACCACTCATCCTCTCCGCCTTCGGTAATGTTATAGCTTGATTCTTGTGATTTTGTGCAAATTTGAGGGATTTCAGCGCACTCGTTATTTTCCGTGGCTCCAACTGTTGTCATCCCTTGGACGTGAGCATGAATTTGAGTCAGCACATATTATTAGCAGCTTGTTTGATAAAATTTTATTAACATGGTCAATTTAATTTTTAAACACACGTTTCAAGGAATCCATAACGTTTATCAATTTTTCAATCGCATATTTCATCAACTTTTATAAAAATCTGTTTAAATTGTTATTAAAAATTTTGTCAAACAACTCCTAGATTGAAATTTTAGGTCAACCATCATGTGCTTTGAGAAAAAAAATTACAATAAATATTTACTACTAGAATGAAGAGAGGTCTAGCAAGTTCCCAAGCATTCCAGACTAGAAACCTAACGAGGGTTATTCCAACAACAAGGGACTAACACATGATATGATACACTTTTACAAGAAAGTGGTACACGTGAAGATTTTGATGACAAATGAACTTGTAACGCCGTTCATCCCAACTATCAGTGGGCCATTACGTACGTTATCTTTCATATTGAAGAATTTATGCAAATAAATTAGAATTTTGATGGAGAATTGTTCAATATACGAGATAACAATAATCATATTCGATTTAGAACTTGACAAGAATTTTGAAAAACTTTATTTTTATATCCAATTCTATCTTGAAAAATAACCTATGATTATTAAATGCAACAAAAGATTAGATAACATGCCATAATGATTAGTTGTAAAATCTGTCCGTATTAACAATTAGACATAATTCGAAACAATATATAAGATAGAGTTAAATGCAACAAAGAAGAACAATATTTGAGAAAAATCCCTCAGGTGCGGTGGAGTGGGGGTACCTTTTGATCCCATGGAGGATAAGCAG